AAATAAATAAAATCTAAAAAAAAAAAAAAAGAAAATTAGGAAGAGAAAATACATCTGCAGTACTCTCCTGTATTTTTCAAAAACAAACTCTGTATAAGTAGATCTGTGTAGTTCAAACCCGTGTTGTCCAAGGGTCAGCAGTATTGCTTTTCTGTTTTAAATTTCATTAATTTCAGGTCTTCGTTATTTTTCTGTTACTTGCATTAGAATTAATTTGTTCTTCTTTTTCTAGTTCCCCAAGGTAGGAGCTTAAATTATTGATTTGAGAGCTTTCTTTTTCTCCAATATAAATATTTAATGCTATAAATTTCCCTGTAAGTACTGCTTTAGCTACATCTCATGGATTTTGATACTGTGTATTTTCTTTTGCATTCTGTTTAACATATTTTCTAAGTTCCCTTGAGACTTCTACTTTGACTCCTGGCTAATTAAGAAGTATGTTGTTTAATGTCCAGATGTTTGTGAATTTTCCAGATAGCTTTCTGTTACTGATTCTTGGTTTACCTTTGTTATGGTCAGAGAACATACTTTGAATGATTTCAATTTTTCTAAATTTGTTTGTTTTACAACCTTGATATTGTCTATCTTGACCAATGTTTCATGTGCACTTGAAAAGAATGTGTGTTCTGCTGTCTTTGGATATAGTATTCTATAAATGTCAATTAGGTCAAGCTGGTTGATAGTGTTGTTCAGATCTTCCATATCCTTGCTGATTTTATCTCTACATTTCCACATATTACTGAAAGAGGAGTGTTTACACCTCTGTTAATTGTGGATTTGTCTATTTCTCATTGCACGTCTGTCAGTTCTTGCTTTGTGTATTTTTAAATTCTGTTGTTAGATGTGTGCACATTTAGAATTTATATTTCCTTGTAAATTTACCTTTTTATCATTCTGTGATATTCTTCTTATGCACAGTAAATTCCCTTCTGAATCCTGCTTTGTCTTTTTTTTCTAATTTTTTATTGTTATGTTAATCACCATACTTACATCATTAGTTTTAGATGTAGCGTTCCATGATTCATTGTTTGTGCATAACACCCAGTGCTCCTTGCAGAACGTGCCCTCTTTAATACCCATCACCAGGCTAACCCGTCCTCCCACCCCCCTCCCCTCTAGAACCCTCAGTTTGTTTTTCAGAGTCCATCGTCTCTCATGGTTCATCTACCCCTCCGATTTTCCCCCCTTCATTCTTCCCCTCCTACTATCTTCTTCTTCTTTTTTTTTTTTTCTTAACATATATTGCATTATTTGTTTCAGAGGTACAGATCTGAGATTCAATAGTCTTGCACAATTCACAGCGCTTACCAGAGCACATACCCTCCCCAGTGTCTATCACCCAGTCACCCCATCCCTCCCACCCCACCCCCCACTCCAGCAACCCTCAGTTTGTTTCCTGAGATTAAGAATTCCTCATATCAGTGAGGTCATATGATACATGTCTTTCTCTGTTTGACTTATTTCGCTCTCCCTTCTGAATGCTGCTTTGTCTTATGTTAATATAGCCACTCCAGATTTCTTCTAATCCGTGTTTGCATGGCATATCCTCTTTCACCCATTTACTTGTAATCTACCTAAATCTTATTAAAGTGGATTTCTTGTAGACAACATATAGTTGGGTCTTATATTTGTGCACTCAAACTCTGTTTTTAATTGGTTTGTTTAAAGTATTTAAACTTAATATGATTATTGATATGGTTGGATTTGGGGTGCCCATTTTGTTTTTCTGTTAGTTCTTTCTGTTTTCGTTCTTCTGTTCCCTCTTTCCTGCCTTTCTCTGAATTATTGATTAATTTTTAGAGTTCCATTTCAATTTGTATTTTGGATTTTTTGCTACATTTCATCATGTAATATTTTTAAAAGATTTAGTTATTTAGAGAGAGAGAGAGTGCATGTGCAGGGGGAGGGGCAGAGGGAGAGGGAGAATCTCAAGCAGATACACCGCTAAGCCTGGAGCCTGATGTGGGGCTTGATCCCACAACCCTGAGATCGTGACCCAAGCCAAAACCGAGAGTTCACCACCTAACGCACTGAGACATCCAGGCGCCCCTCATTATATATTTTTTAGTGATGGCTACAGGGATTATAGCAGTCATACCAATTTTCAGTGTAGTTTTGGATTTAACGTTTTACCACTTCCAGTAAGTTGTGGCAGACCTACGAGCACCATCTTGTCATCGCTGCCATGCATTACATCTGCACACACTGTAAACACCCCAGAAAGTGTTACAATATTTGCTTTTAACAGTAATAAATATTCTAAAGAGCTTGAAAAAAAACAGTCTTTGTGCTTCTTCGGGTACTGAGCATTTCTGTCGCTCATTCTTATTTCTCAAGTTGCAGGCTTCCTTGGGACCTTTCCCTTCAGCCTGAGCAACTTTTGTTAGCACTCCTTTCAGAGCAGGCCCCCTGAGGACATGTTCTCTTCATGTTTATTTATCAGAGAATGGCTTCAGTTCACCTTCACTCCCAGAAGACACAGTTTGCTGAAGAGCAGGTTCTGAGTTGACAGTGCCCTCGGTCAGCCCTTCTGTGGTCTGAGCACGTGGCCCCTGATGGGAAGTTGGCGGCCGCCCACAGGGCCACTCCTCTACGTGTCCTGTGTCATTTTGCTCACACTGCTTTCAAGATTGTTCTCCATCTTTGGTTTTCAGCAGTTTGTGGTGTTTCTGGGCCTGATTTTCTTTTAATTCATCTTATTTAAGGTTGTTCAGCTTCTTGAATCTGAAAAATATGTCTTTCACTAAATCTGGGAAAATTTTAGCCATTATTTCTTTAATTTTTCAGCATTGGTCTCTTTTTTCTCTTTCAGGGACTGAAATAACAATTGTATTGTACTTCTAGTATTATCCCGCAGGTCTCTGAGCCTCTGTTCATGTTTCCCCGACATTTTTCTTTTCTCCTCTATACTGGATAGTTTCTACTATCTTTAAGTTCACTGGCTCTCATTTTCTGTCATCTCTGTTCTGTTACTGAGCTTATCATGTGAATATTTGGTGGTGTTTTAAGCTATCACATGATTCTATCGTAGAGAAAACTTGAGAGCCACTAGCTTCATACCTCAGGCCTCGGTGTCCTCACCTTAAAAAATGGGGTGACAGTGCCTGCCTTACCTTGCAGGGTTGCTGGGCCCAAAGCATGGGGTCTGAGACATCCAGTAGCCTCACCAGATCCAGTCAGGGAGTCGAGACCAACCGAAACCCAAGGACTTCCATTACCAGGTAGAGTGGGGTGTCTTTGTGGAAGGTACTGCCAAGCACAAAAGGATGTTGCCGCAGAAGTTCTCCTGATTTGAATGGTGGTGACAGGAGAGAAGCTAGCAGGGACATTCAGTCCAAGTTGTAAGGGTGTGAACATGCTTAGTGAGCTGTCACAGGCTTTTCAGGGGATGTGGACACACTGTCCACCAGCCACAGGGCAGTTACACATGCCAAGACTGAGGCCAGTACCGAGTGCCAAGAGCACCAGGGGAGGGTGATGGTCAGGGTGGAGAGACCAGAAGTTTCATCTTAAAATATGTTTTTAAGGGGAAACTACAGTATATAAAATTCACAGAAATCTATGTTTAGCATGTTACATAGAAATTTTTAAGTTTGTAGTTTAGGCTGCTGCCAACAGCATTACTGTATATAATTACCACAAGGGCCACACAGGCTGGAGTTGAAAAGAATTGTTCTCATATTTGCTGACTGGACCTGGTGGTGTACTCGCCAACATGACGTTTCAGTGTTAGACGCTTGTATCGCCTAATAATATGCTTATGCGTAATACATCGGCATTGGCTATTTTGTTAAGGTCTGATAAAACGTGACATTACATCTGCACACACTGTAAACACCCCAGAAAGTGTTACAATGTTTGCTTTTAACAGTAATAAATATTCTAAAGAGCTTGGGAAAAAAGTCTTTATGCTTCTTCGGGTACTGAGCATACCTTAAATGGTACAGTTTTGGGGGCGCCTGGCTGGCTTAGTTGGTAGAGCATGCAACTCTTGATCTTGGGGCCATGAGTACAAGAACCACATTGGGCATAGAGTTTACTTTAAAAGTCATTTAAAAAAATAATATTAACATCAAATGATACAGATTAATTTACAAGTAGATATTTCAGCTAAAGCTATTCTCCTCTTATTATTAACAGAATATCCAAGGTATCTCCAAGCACCCAATTCAAATTACTAAACCGCAAAATGTTAAAGGTAACACATTTCTCTCTACTTTGCTGAAGTATTGGGTAACATTTTTTAAAATGTTAGAAGCAGATGAGCAGATCTGCTTCAAGGGTCCCTCACCTATAAGTGTTTATAATTGCTTTCCTGTAGAACTAAATTCTTTGCCTTCCTCAAGTTCTCTGTATTTGCATGACCAGGATTTAAATACACTGAAAAATAAAACACAGCTAAATTGATATGGCACCTCCCTTTTAGCAGTTTACAAGTTAAAATAGATGATAATTATACGAGGAAAGTAGCTCCCTTCCCACCACCTCTCCCCCACCAACTGCCCAATAGAGAAAAAAAACAAACAAACATACAATAGACTGGCTTTTATTAGAGTCTGAAAGCTACTGGAAATGTTTATAAAAGCATACCAACACTGTTCTTTCTTCTGAGCTGTTCCACTGTAAGTTACATTTCTAAAAAAGAAAAAGGTCACATCTGAGCAAAGTAGGTTCTGTGGCCCGTCCCTCCAGCTCCTGCACCCTTGGTGGGGTGCTCCTGCCCTCTGCTTGGACACCACAAGACAGTGAAGCATGACCGGGTCCTTTTCAAATACACATTCACCCTTAAGCAGGACCCATGGAGGTGTCTCCTACTGTCCTTTAAAACATATTCTGTGCATCGAGGACCCACGCTTCCCCAAAGCCTGTCTTCTAGGCTGTGAGGCTCTGGGGGCCTCGAGGACATTCTTACTGGAGTACATTCGAGGTCTGCATTTGAGCTGTTCCTCACCAAGAATTCTAGACAGGATGTAAAATTTTAACAACAGAAAGCCTACTTTACTCTCAGCAGTACCATGTTGCTTTTAAATTATATTAATAAAAATATTCAGAAAAGTCAGAAATCTGGACTCTCAACTTTGGAATGATATTAAAATAAACTCTGTGTGAGGAATGGCTATGAATCAGCTTATGACCAAATTCACCAAGTGCTCTTGAAATACTGTTTCAGGTACAGAAGGCACAATGCTCACCATCTCCCTGAGGAGCATGTTTGTTGCGCCCAAGGGCCACACCTTCCTGGCAGCAGGTACGTGCAGACGGTGCCAGAGAGATGTCCTGTGTCATGGTGGCTCACTTTACATGTTCAAATACTTGGAAGGTGGATAATTCAAAGGTACTTACAGAATTCATTCTTTAAAGTAAATCCTAAGGCAAATATTTATACAAAAGAAAGATTTCTTGTGCACAGTAAATAAGAGCAGATCTGCTTCAAGGGTCCCTCACCTTCTCCAGATCCCAGATACCCCAACGCGGTCCCACCCAGTCTGCCCCTCCTTTCTCCTCTCTGTCCTCGGCACGCTCCGCGCTCTGCCCCGCTCGCTCTCTGCAGATGGGCTGGCCTCCAGCCCAGGCCAGCCCCACCTCATGCCCGCGTGGAACCTCTTCACTAGATAACATCTCGCTCCCTCCTTCGCCTCCTCTGTCTTGAGGAGGTGTACCCTGACCATCCTCTCCCTCCTGAACCCCCTTTCTTGATCTGTCTTTTCCAGTTCACTTCTCATCTTCTGATGTACCAGATAACTCACACACATTGTCTCCTGCTCCTAGAACATGGGCTCCACGAAGAAAGGCTTATCTATTTTGTTCATTATCAAATCCCAAGCACACCTCCTGGCACCCAAAGGCACCCTCTAAACTTCTGATGTATAGAATGAACAAATAAGTGCATATGGCCTATCCTGGAGGTGTTGCTGGCCTCACGGAAGGCAGGACAAGTACCTTAGACTTGCAGACACAGGGGTGGCCAGTGGCCCTGAGACCAAAGGACCCTGGCAGATGGGTGGGAGGATGTTGCTCTTGATGCTGCAGTAGGGACGGAAGGTTGAGGGTGGGCTGCAGCATGGGTAGCAATGACGAGGGACACTGTTGGCAGATTCAGAATTAATGTGAATTCTATCTCACAGACTTTTCACAGATTGAATTGCGCATTCTTGCACACTTATCTGGGGATCCAGAACTTTTGAAGTTATTCTGGGAATCTGAAAGAGATGATGTATTTTCCACCCTGACTTCACAGTGGTAAGATATATGAGCTCACAATATTATCAGAGCTGCAGGAATGCTGACATGATTTTAAAATCCTGAAGTTATTCCAAGGCTATTTTCATAAGAAGGAAATTATATTTTTCTCTAGTAGTTAATCCTTTTGAGAAAAGAGAAGTAGATAGTTAGAATGCCAAGATTTCCCTAATTATGAAAAAACTGATGGGGCGCCTGGGTGGCTCAGTCGGTTAAGCGACTGCCTTCGGCTCAGGGCATGATCCTGGAGTCATGGGATCGAGTCCCGCATCGGGCTCCCCGCTTGGCGGGGAGTCTGCTTCTCCCTCTGACCCTCTCCCCTCTCATGCTCTCTCTCACTCTCTCTCTCCAATAAATAAATAAAATCTTAAAAAAGAAAAAACTGATGGCTCTTCACCACTAAAAATACAGCCCATTGCTAGAGAATGTAATAGAGATATTGGAAGAATCCAATGTGGGAGTCTGTGCTCCCTCCACGCGGGTGTGCGAGCGGCGGGGCTGGGTGTGGGCGCTTCCTCTCCGCACCCCACCCCATCAGGGCCAGGAGCACATCAGACTGCAAGGACAGTCCCTGCCTGACAGTGACCTGTGCTCAAAGAGGATTCTGGAGACAGACAACCTTGGGTTTGGGTGGGCAGTTTGACAGTGTCCTCAAGCACTTGTCCTTGTGCGTCAGTGTTCTTAGGTGGTCAGCTTTTCCTTATCCTGGCTGTGGAACCCCTGCTGCCTCTTGTGCAGAGTGGGCTCTCCCCTCAGACTGACTGCCCTTGCCAGGGGCAGGGGTCCTGCCCAGGCCCTGCTGCAGACGGCTCTTGCGCTGCCGTTCCAGAGCGGGGTCGTGCAGCTGCAAGGGAGGCTGGTAACAGCCACTCTCTGGACAAAGAGGAACAGTCACAGTATCCACCAGAGCCAGGTACGCCGCTGCCTGGCACTCAGTCAGGATTCTGCTACGAGGAAGAAGAGGCACCTCATCTGCTGTCCGTCCCCTCCTTCAGCAGCTGTAGGCACCACCTTCCCTTCCCCTGCAGGCCTCTCCGCCAGGCTGCCCCTCCTGGGGGCCTCCTCACCCATCCCACCTTATCTTGGCATCCACTCACCCTCAGGAGCCACCCTGGAGGCACCACTCCATGAAGACTGGCCTCTGTGTTCTTGGGCCGCTACACATCCCTCTCCGTGCCCTTCACTGTCTTTTCTTTTTTTCTTTCTTAAAGATTTTATTTATTTATTTGACAGAGACACAGCAAGAGAGAGAACACAAGCAGGGGGAGTGGGAGAGGGAGAAGCAGGCTTCCCGCTGAGCACGGAGCCCGATGCGGGACTCGATCCCAGGACCCTGGGATCATGACCTGAGCTGAAGGCAGATGCTTAATGACTGAGCCACCCAGGCGCCCCATTCACTGTCTTTTCTGAAGGCGTGTGAGCCCTGCAAGGGCAGGGCCATGTCCCCTCATCCAGCACGGTGCCGGTCCTCCCCTCTCCGCCTCGGCCCCCCTGAGCCACCAGGTGTTCCAGGTACACGCCTCACTCAGGCCTTTCCTTCCCCTGGCTCGGGAAGCTCTTTCCCCGAGTGTCCCCGTGACTCACCCTCAGCTCACTGTGTGACGCCTCGGCTTCCCTCGAGGACCTGCCCTCCCACCACTGCACATCTCTCCATTGTCTCCACCCTGCATGTCCCGCTGGAATGTCAGCTTGCGGAGGGCAGGGCCACCTGGCCCTGTACCTGCGGTGCTCCATGAGGTGTGGAGTCTCAGCCTGCATCTGTGAATGAAACAGTCCTGTTGGCCAGGAAGCATCTCCTCTCCAGAAACCCCCCACCACAAGATTTATTTGAATTAAAAAAAAAAAAATCAGGAAGAAGTATTGTTGTCAAGGTGACAGAGGAGGGAGGATACTGCTGGACACTGAGCTGGGCTTTAAAGAGTGGTTGTGGGTAGTAGGGTTATGCTGGCATCCCCAGAGGAAGCAACAAACTCCACAGCAGAACAGGGCATTAGGCGGCGGGACAGCGTGTGGATGGCTCGGCAGGACGGTGTGCAGCCATCAGGCCCACTGCCAGCTCCCAGCAGCCTGCCATCTGGCCTTGAGCTGGGGGCCTCCTCTGTGCGTCCCCTCCTTGTCCTAGGTGCTGTCCAGGGGCCCGGCCCTCCCCTGACACTGGCCACTCTGCTGGGCAGGGCCCATCTCACACTGAGACCTTGCAGAGCTGTGGTCTGTGTTCCTCTCCTGCCGGCCGCTCCTCACCCCCCACCTGCCAACTTGAGGCCCCTCCCACCCCCAGCCCACCCAGCCGTCCTCCCCTGTGCAGGTTCCCTTCCTGTGAGTCCCACCTGGGATGCAGCCCAGACTCCCCTTCCGTGCCTCCTGCATGCCTGGGCGTGCAGTCATGGCCTGCTGGATGACCACTAGGTAAATGAGGGCGTGATGGACCCCCACCTCCCCATCGATCTCTGTCAGCTGCTCCATGTAGGACTTGCTGCTCCCTTCACTTCTCCCCTCCCTGGTTGCATGTTTCCAGCCCTGGGTGATCCCACTCCCTGCTTTCCTATTGCCCAGCCCCAAGATGCTGCAGGAAGCCATAAAGTGGTGAGTGAGTGAGTCCATCATAAATCTGGGTCATCCGACCTGAGAGGGACCCTTATTAGTCTCTACTCATCAGCTGCTCCAAATGTTTTTAGACTTGCCACAAATGTCTACTCTTCTCCCTTAATCTTTTTTTTTTTTTTTTAAGATTTTTAAAGTTTATTTGACAGAGAGAGAGACACAGCGAGAGAGGGAACACAAGCAGGGGGAGTGGGAGAGGGAGGAGCAGGCTTCCCTCAGAGCAGAGAGCCCGATGCGGGGCTTGATCCCAGGACCCTGAGATCATGACCTGAGTCGAAGGCAGACACTGAACGACTGAGCCACCCACGTGCCCCTCTTCTCTCTTAATCTTGAAAGAGAACCTCACCTTTCACTTGATTGACAAAAAAGAGGGCCTCAGACGTGAGTCCCTGAACCCCCTCCCACTTTGTCTCAGTGTGTCATTGCATGTCCTCCTCCCAGTCTTCAAAGATTTCTGTCTCGAAAGAGGAAGCATCCTCTACTGCCAAAGTCAGGAAGTCAGGACTGTGCACTGCACATCTCTAGGCAATGCCGTGCATTTACACATCAGTGTGAATGGCACCTCCTGGAGTTGTGCAGTGCCTAACCAGTACAACGTTACATGGCAATCCTCATGTGGATCCCCTTTATTTTCCATTTTTACTCTGGTGTTGTTCATTTCCCCTTATCGACTTCACCTCCCCCACCCCCCCCGAAAACAACAACAACTGTCTAGGGTTGCCTTCAGGGAAATCCTATTTTCAACCCCACTGGAGCCCTTAGTTACTGTTTAGGTACAAAAGAAGTCTGTACTTACTCCTTGTTCTTTCTCACTGCTGGCTCATTCTGGCTTTTTTGAATAAACTTTTACTTTACCCACTTAGGCTTTTCTTCTTCCAATTTGGAGCCTGGAACTCCTCCTATCTAAGACAATGACTGCCTTTCTTCCGGGTGCAGTTGGCGCTGAGGTCCACAGCCTGCACGAGGACGCTCGGGCGCTGCCCACCCGCAACCCCTAGTTCAAAGGCTCTGCAGGGGTCTGTCACTGACCCTGGGCACCTCCAAGTCCCGTGCTCTCTCCTGGCCTGCTGCTCCAGGGAGATGCCCTTCTCCTTGGTTTGCTCCATTGGTTCTTCTTAAAATTGAGATGTCATTTATATACCATAAAATTCATCTTCTGAAAGTGTACAATTCAGCAGTCTTTAACACATCACAAGGTTTTGCATCCATTGCCACTGCCTAATTCCAGAACGTTTCCATCCCTCCAAAGAGAAACCCCATCCCCATTCCTGTCGCTCCCCATGGAAATCACTAGTCTGCTCTCTGTCTCTCTACATTCATCTGTTCTGGATTTTTCACATTAATGGAATCGTACAATATGTGGCTTCCTGTGTCTGGCTTCTTTCACCGAACATAATATTTTTAAGGTTCGTTCTTGTGGTAGCTAATATCAGTACTTCCTTCCCTCTTACGGCTGAATAGATTCCATTATATGGAATCATGTATTCTATATATTTTGGTTTAAACAAACAAATAATCTTCCATTTGTTTATCCATTCGCAGTTGATGAGCATTTGGGTGGTTTCTACCTGGCTATTAGGAATAATCCTGCTGTGAACATTCACATACAAGTGTTTGTGTGGGTACGTGTTTTCATTTCTAATGGGTAGACACCTAACAGAATTGCTTGGGGCATATAGTAATTCTGTGTTTAATTTTTTTTCTTGTGGTAAGACACAATAACATAAAATTTACCATCTTAACCACTTTAAAATGTACAATGCAATGGCAACTATATTTAAATTTTTGAGGAACAAAATAGCGACACCACTTAACACTCTCATAAGCAGTGTATGGGGTTCCGATTCATCCACATTCTCGCCAGTACTTTTTATTGTCTGTCTGGTTCCATTGGTTCCAGCTGTCCTGGTGGTGTGAGGAGTTGTCTCACTGGGGTTCCGACTCGCGTTCTGTGATGACTGAGGATGCTCAGCACCTCTCCCTGTGCGCGTCATTTGTGCTTTATCTTTGCCTCTTTTCCCTCCTTTGCACCTGGAACACAAGTGCTGACCCGGCTTCCTTCCTAATGTCCTTTCTTTCGTTTCACTCTCCCTCTAGTGAGGATATAACATAATACAGAGTTTTTAAAGCATGTAATAGATTTAGTTACACCCCTGCCCTCTCTCCAGAGGTATGGAAACCAAGGACAAAGAAGGAAATAATAAAGTTAAGAGCAGAAATCAATAAAATCAAAACTAGGAAAACAATAGAAAAGATCAATGAAACAAAAGTGGATTCTTTAAAAAAAATCAATAAAATTCATAAACCAACAAAGATAAAAATAGGACACAAATCATCAATATCAGGAATGGAATAGAGGATATTAATACAGATCCCAGAGGCAGCAAAAGGATAATAAA